CCCTCTTTCATATCAGGAGCCCCCTTCCCCCTCGTTACATCAAAACCCCCCTTTACATCAGAGTCTCCCCTTCATACCAGGAGCCCCCTGCACATCATGAGTCCCTCTTTACATCAGAGCCTTCCTTTACATCAGAAGCCCCTCTTCACATCAGAAGCCCCCTTCACATCAGAGTCTCCTCTCCACATCAGGAGTCCCCCTTCACATCAGGAGTCCCTCTTTACATCAGAGTCCCACTTCACATCAGGAGTCCACCTTCACATCAGAGTCCCCTCTCCACTTTAGGAGACCCTCTTTACATCAGAAGCCCCATCTTTCACATCAGGAGCCCATTCTTTCACATCAGAAGCCCCTTCACATCACACATCCCCACTATATATATATTATACAACAAACAGGGGAGCACAAGGAGTTACGCGAAAAAACTTCCGATATATAATATATTATATAATATAATACACCAAACTCCAGGGTTTCAACAAAACTTATCAAAAAATCGGAGTATCCCCTAATTTAAGAAATCCCTTTCTCGGAGCTGGTTTAATAAACAGGTATAACATGTAAATTTACTCAAAAAATTCATTTAATTGTAAAGAAACAGGAATAAACAATAAACAATACATCCATAACAAAACACTAAAATCAATTAAAAAACTTCCCTTGAACAAACAGTGGTAAATAGTAACACGGAGGATCTGCAAGCCTGCTGGTGTAGCAAAGACCTGATTAATATAGATACATGCACTGTATTTCATATACGGATACAAAGTATCCAAAGTTACTCACAACTCATGCAGTTTTGGGAGAGACAGTCCTGCTCGACTCTCAGCACTAGATGGTTGAATAATGCTTCACTTCAAAAAGTGTATCTTGTGGCAGTGGTTTAGAATTCGGTGAAAGGGGTATGTTGGTAGGGCTGTAACGATGTAGGCGCCCTTCCCTTACCCCTTTCTGGGGACTCTCACTGACCCGCGAGCTTTGATTGAGATTGCAGAAAAATTATATGTGCGGCCGCACAATGAAACAGCAGTCGGTAGCAACGGTGAAAGTAGGGGTCTCCACAGTGAGAGATTCCAGTTATACTTGAAAATCCGCAGAGAGTGTAGTTACCACAAAAGGTAATCAGGTCTGCTCGAATCAGACTCTGCTGGAGGGTTCCAGATCAGCTGGGCTCACGCCAAAAGGAACCAGCCGGGATGTGCATCTACCAGGACTGGCGTGTGGGATGAGTAGTTTCGAGTGTCCAGGGAAGTGGAAAACAACCGTAACCCTGACGCGTTTCCTCCCACAAGGGGACTTCTTCAGAGGGGCGTGTGTTGTTCGTTCTTGCAAGGATGTATTAAATAGCTAGTTAATCAGGCTCATAGGCTGCCGGATATCACACAGTCAGCGAGCCTTATCGTTTCTCAAAACATACTAATGATATTGCACATATTTTGGTATATTCTAGTGGCACCTGTGGAGCCTTAAGTGCATGAAATCCTGTATCCCTTTAACCACATCCAGTCACTAGTACAGCTATATTTTCACTGATTTGAGATAATAGAAAGATGGCATATAAACATCATATAGCATCATATACAGAGAGATCCTATAGTCCTATACGGACTAAAAGGAGACTCCTGATGTGAGGAAGAATCGAGTTTCGACGGGCTACTCATGGAATAGATGGTAATAAGTAGTTACTACTGTTATGACGTGAGTCAACACATGGGTTTCAAAGATATGTAAAGAAACATACGGGTACGGGAAAGTAGTACCAGATAGTCCCATATAGGGGTACAACCCCTCGAAAGCCAGAAAGACTTGTATCATCAGTCCAGACTCGACTATAACTGACATCAGGAGTCCCATATATAATCCAAAATTACATATATATAAACATTCCAGTGATCAAATAATTGACAGAAGTATAACCCAGGTGACCCCCAGTCGAAGGTAACCGGTTTGTAGCTCAGGGATGGAAAATATACTTAAATCCGTCAACTTCAGTCATTAAAAACAAGAAGTATTATATTTGGTGTACAGGTTGTTTCAGAGATAGCAGCTAAAGTTAATCATGTCGTTAAGACCTGGCGCCTGATGAGCCTCCGTCTGATGAATCCACCTGCACTCTCTCTGTAATAGGGTTCTATCCCAATCCCCCCCACGTCTGGGCTGATGGACCCTGTCCAAGCCAAAAAAGCGAAGTCTGTCGATACGTCCACTATGGGTATCTACAAATTGTCTAACTATGGGGGACCTGAGGTCTCTAGCTGCTATATCCGACAAATGGTCGGATATTCTGTTCTTGAGCATGCGTTTGGTTTTTCCCACATAAAACCGCATGAGTTGTGAGTAACTTTGGATACTTTGTATCCGTATATGAAATACAGTGCATGTATCTATATTAATCAGGTCTTTGCTACACCAGCAGGCTTCCAGATCCTCCGTGTTACTATTTACCACTGTTTGTTCAAGGGAAGTTTTTTAATTGATTTTAGTGTTTTGTTATGGATGTATTGTTTATTGTTTATTCCTGTTTCTTTACAATTAAATGAATTTTTTGAGTAAATTTACATGTTATACCTGTTTATTAAACCAGCTCCGAGAAAGGGATTTCTTAAATTAGGGGATACTCCGATTTTTTGATATATATATTATACCCAGACATATTCTTTAAACTAAGCTGTCCTAGTTTTTCATCCAGACACCGACCACAAGTGTCTTCTCTGATGGAGTGGTGTCATCACCCCTGCCATTCTAGGGAAAAGCCTCTCCAAGGGGATAAGAGCGGGGATTTGATCTCACAAACAGGAACTTCCAGAAATATATTCTCTAAGGATTTTCATACATTAAGTATGGGGCCACTGATGTTTTTTAACTTTCTTTTTAAAGGAATTTTCAAATACAAGTCAACCTGCAGCGCCACAGAGAACGCCAAATGTACCTGCACAGTGGGAAAAAAGTGCGCCGATGAAAACTGCACTCAATGCGAAGACAACCCTTGTCCAGCTGGCACACAGCTTAATGAACAAGGTAAGACCTCCATATGAGCAGGGTACTTGGAGCCAGCTGCCATGCTGAAGGACAACATAATAGTCCCTTCAATGACCTTCGAATCTGAAATACAGTTCACTTGGGTTGAAGAATTGCCCAAAAACGCGTATGTAGGATTTAATAGTTTGTCAGAACAGAATTATTTTTGAAAGGAAGAAGATTATTTTGCTATACACAGTTGACTTCCTGTTTGAATTCACATACAGTCTAAACACATCTATAGAAATTAGATGATGGTCACTGGATTTAGCTAATTCTGTCCAGTTTGGGTGACAATATTATATCTATGGGCAGGCGGAAAATCCCATGTTGTTTCTCTTGAAGTAGGTCAACATCCGATGATTTGTATTTGTGCTCCATAGCACGGACAGATGCACTGAAAAGCCCATACTTGAATATTTATACCTGGAACCGTGAGAAAAGATATTCCCGGACAGTCAGATTAATTGGGGGAGGGTTAGATCATATGTCAAGTTGTTATTGCTGCTTCCCCATTGGGAAAACTTACCACTCCACCACTTACCATCATTTGTACTGGTGACCATTGTAACCAAGTAAGAAAGTGAGGGAAAATCCAAAGTTATAGACTTTTCTCCAGAATGTCAATTCTGTAAGGGGAGCTTTACCAATGGGGATAGTTGGTTATTAGGGGAATTTGTGGTGCACAAATAATACTGCCTGTATCAACATGTAGTAATGCAGTGTATTTATATATACATTAATAAGTTCCACTCTGGGTTCTGGAGCCCGGAGGCTCTGCAGAGTTTTGGGTGGGAATAAGACTGTTTCTATGTCCACATCTTACCTGGCAGCCAGACCTCATTATTGGTCTCAGCTGTTCACAGGCCTTTATATATTATTATTATATTATTATACAGGATTTATATAGTGCCAACAGTTTACGCAGCTCTTTACAATATAAGGAAGACATTACAATCACAATACAGTTAAAGACAAGATGGTAAGGAGGGCTTATATATGAGAGCTGACTGATGGTCAGGGCTCTCTCTTGGTACTGGGTGAAAAGACTGAGTTCTGGGAGAACACTAAAAAAGGGGAATTCATTAGGGGGGCACCCTGTTTTGTTTTATGCTATGGACTTGCTGTACAAAGACCCCTGCACTGATGCTCTGTTTGTTTTTGCTGCCATGCCGAGTAAAGGTGCAAGACAAACCTGGGTGTCTCTATCTTGTACATGGTTTA